GGGGCTCGGGAGCTCCTCGCTCGACGCGCGGCGCACGTTCTGCCACCCTAGCCGTACCTCCACGGGGACGCTCCTCGAGAAGCGGCCCATCTCCGGCCGCGACTATTGCGGGTCCGGTCTTCAGGGGGGTGGGTTGAAGCGCAAGCTCTTGCTGCTACCTGAGTTGCGAGAAGCGCTCGCGCGCCTGTCCCAACATCGGCCCACGGACGAGAGGCTTGGGAGGAGGCTGTCAAAGGTGGAGTATGAAGCGCTCTTGAACGGGCTGGCTCACGAGGACCCCCAGATCGTGAAGCGTTTCGGGCCGGATGAGGCGGGGGGGGCGCTTCCAGAGGACGGCAGACGGTGCATGCTCGCCGAGCAGCGCACGATGGTACGAGACCGAAACCTGGCCGTCTTCGAGTTGCTGACGGGGATCCAGGCCGACTTTGAGAGGCGAGGGTTGAGCCCAGACCTGTGGCAGCACTGGGTGGGCGAGTGGACGGAGCTTCTGTACTCTCTAGGCGCGCACGATTCCGACGAAGACCTGATTGGGGCTGGCGCATTGCACGCGGTGCGGAGGCTGCTTCTAGGTAGCGAAGCAACCCTCGAGGACCGGCGGGACTTGGCAAGGGAAGCGCCCATCTTGCGGCGCATCCTGGATTCGTACGGAGGGCTCACATTTCCGGCCTTCTTCACGCGCGTCCTTTACCACCTCTACCTGCTCGTACTCTTGGCTCAGGGGGGGACGGGATTCGAGGGCGAAGGGCGGCGGGGCTGGGTGCACGAGGCAATCGATTCATTCGAGCGAGCGGTCGGCCTTCTTACGAAGGCTCGAGCGCGTCCCCTGAGCATCGATGAAAGACGACACTTGGACGAGGCGCGAGGGCTGGCGAACGAGCTGCTCCCGGGGGTCGAGATGTTGGAGCCAAGCCCCCGGCAGTGGGAGGGAATGAGCGGTCATGAGCGCTCGCTTCTGAAAGAGAGGCTGGGGCGCGACGAGGAGGGAGACGAGTTGCACCCGTTGCCGGCGGGGCACGCTTTTCGAGCCGAGCAGGACGTCTTGGCGTGCTACCCGTTCCCTGGTTGGGAGCAGAAGCGGGGGTTGCCGTGGTACAGCAGCTTCGAGCATCCGGACGGCCGCAGTAAGAGCTCGGAGGAGCACAAATGCGCAACAGGAAAGTCGATAACCGAGTGGGATGCTGAGAACGTTCTCGGGCTGGTGAAGGGGGCCGGACAGCTCTCGGGGAAGAAGGGAAGCAAGAGCAAGCGGCCGAAGAGGACTAGGGGGGGTTACGTTTTTGCGTGCCCGCATCGGGTCATCTACGGATTCCACGTGATGCTGCGCGGAGAGAGCCCGAGGGACGCCTTTGTCGTGCTCTACACTCGACTAAGGCGGGAGGATCTGCCAGAGGTTTTGGTGCACGACAATAGTTGCGCCTTGCGCAACTATTGCTTCCGCAGAGAACCGGCGCATTTTGCCAAGGTTCGGTTTGTCGTCGACAGGTGGGACAAGCTTCCAGATCTTCGTGCACCGGACGCGCACTCGCATCGAATCTACAACATCGCTCGTTCCTATCAATTGCGCAATGCAGTTATGGAAAACGTGTACATAATTGAGCATGCAAATGACACGTTCGTATTATTGATTGAAAAGCTCATGTACACTTTTTGTTGATTGCAGATTTCACTTTTCAAAAGCTGGGACCGAGGTTCACAAATGCGGGCCAAGCAACTCGCTTGACATCTACGACGCTCTCCATTGGGTCAACACATCGGCGGTGGAGAGTGTCAACTCCTTTCTGAAGGGGTTCCGGTCCCTTGGGTGGTACTCGGGGCTCGAGAGCTTCATGGTGATATTGCCCCTGCTCCTTGGCGGCTTCAACATGACGTTGCGACGGGTGGACGACGCGAAGCTAGGCATCGCCATTGCCGTTGCGATGTGGACGGCTAGAATCCCAAAAAGGCTATTGCTAGGCTAGCTTGATGCCCTGCCGAACTTGTGGCGCCGTTTTCTTATGATACAAAGATTGATCCAAAATACATAGTACTGTATCATCTTGTAAATGGCACGTGGTGTGCTTGTTAATGACGTGAAATCGTTTGCAATGTTTGAGGTGTAACGAGAAATGGGAGCAATTTTGAACTCTTGCGTCAGTATTACGTCGCAATGGGGGTGCATGTGGTCTGATACAAGTGATACAAATGATACACGATCTCACAGCATGTGCTCTATATGTAGCAGCTGTTGTTGTGAAAAAAAAAATCAATACACCCTATGTGTGTATCTTGTATCATTTGTATCAGCTCTAAAAAGGCAACTCCACACGAGGGCCACCACCATTGCGGGACGTCATGGCTCATCCATACTCTCCAAGCAGATTTTTAGCCCCAAAAGCGTCATCAGAATTGCGCAAAGGAGATAGGGAGCAACAATAAAGGTGCTGATACACGTCAATTTGAAATGGCAAATGTCTTGTATCATTTGTATCACGTGCTCGATTGATCAACATCAGACTTTTTATTCCTTCTCGGGATCGGCCGATTGTTTGGCTTTTCCTGGATCGGCATTAAGTTCGCCCTCTGTCTTCAATCGGATTCCAAAGTAACCTCTTCCCTGCGACTTTTTATCAAGCGTTGAAATCATGGGAGCGTTCCCACCGCCGGGGCGTGTTTGCAAGAACCCCTTTACCCGCAGTGCTCGTGTGAGCCCATCTCCAGCCAAGCCAACGTCGTGTCCACCTGCAAACAAAAAGTTCTTGAAAGCCTCGACGAAATCGGCCTTTGCGACTTTCAAATCCGGCTCTCCCTCTGTGACGCAGTGGTCGTCAATAAAAGCTTGAAGCTTGTCGTTCTCACCCGCATACTCCTTTGCTGCGGCGCTGAATGCTTCCGAAACGGGTGAGAGAACCTTCGAGGTCGGTGCAAGCCTCTTTCTAGCATAATACATCATTGCTCCTTGAACGCAGAATTCGAGTGTGTCCGCTGCACCCTCGTCTGATTCAGAGTAGTACTTGAGGCCCACATCAATGGGCTTGTGCCACTTGTTCGTCTTGTCAAGCTCGTCAGGACTCTTGAATACGTAGTTGAAGCTGATGAGCACCATTCGACGGAGAAGGGCGGTATCGTCCCCGGGAAAGTGTGGCATGTAATTTGTAAACAAACAGAGCTTGTATTGCGGCACGTAGCTCTGCGGTTTTACAAAAGAGTTCGCGAGCATCGAGCTCGCCTCCGCCGCTTGCCTCCTTTAGGAAGGATGCATGGAGCTCCTCGACCCCTTCGGACTCATCATTGGTAACAAAACGCTTCGTCCGGATGTGCATCAGGTGGGTGGAAGCTGCTGATGCGTTGGCCTTGAAAGTTGGCTTGATAAAGATGGCTTTATTACCAGCACAATTGTACGTGCCCATCGCTCTACGAAGTGCTTGCTTCAGCCATCCCTTTCCATTCGCCCCCAAAAGGCCGACCGCAATAACGAAGAGCTCTTCAGACGTCTCTCCAGTGAGACAGTACCCCAGGAACAGTTGCATCCACTCAATGGTATCTGGTGGAAGAACGTCAATGAGAGTCTTGCGAAACCTTGCGGTAGGACGAGTTGAAGCTCCCTGGACATACTTACTTGTCATGTTGTTGCAAAGATCTTGCGGGTGATGCGGCAAGAGCACCCCCGTTTGAAGATCAATCAAACCATTTGGAGCGTTCACTACCGTGCAATCTTTATCAAACATGTCAAGCAATCCGGTCACGTGAAGTTTCCTGATCACTGAGTGCAGGCACTTGCGAACGTCAGTGATATCCTGCACATTGATCTTGCCAAAGCTGGGCATACTTTCGTTTCGTTCCTTCACGCACGCTTCCATAGTGTGCTTGATCTTTCTCAGCTGCTTCGAGGTAAGCTCGTCTGGATTGAGAGGCTTCAGAACGCCACCCACCACAAAATCCTGCAAATCGGGATGCTTTGAGTACAAAGAGCCCAGTGCTCTTTCGCGCTTCTTCTCGTACCATTTGAGCAAACAACCCATCTGACTTGTGAACACGCTTGTGACAAGGTTCGAGTTGTCTTGTATCCAAGAGGAGCCATTCCACGCAAAGAAGAGCTGGTCTCGACTCTTCTCCGCCTCGTTGGTAGTGACAAAGATTCGGCCTTCGATCATATACATGTAGGCAAAGAGGCTCCCCAGATTGGCATACGCTTCAGGAGCGGCGTGCTCAACCACAATCTTGAGCAGCAACTCTTGGACCTCTTGCGTGCCACTCGTGTATTGAGTAACAACTTGCATATCGTCGTGCGGATCCACGGGCCGTGTGGTAGCATCTTGCAATGCGGTCTTGAGATCGTTCAAAACTCCCAGCTTTTTGGCCGGCTTGTGGGAGCATTCGTTGCCATGACAGCGATAGAACACGATGCGTCCTCTCTTGAGCAGGTTGAAGTTGTTGCTTCCCGTGTGCATATGGCCAAAGAAGCATCTTCGAGGCCCATGCGTCCGGTAGCAATAGTATGTCCCGTACAGGCCGTGGGGTATCGACCCTGCGTACGTGCTGGTTGGGTCGCCGGCCTTCTCTGACAGCAACTTTGAAAGTTCCACCAGCAAGAGCTCCTTGCCGTTTGGCGATTCCAAAATTGGGCTCGAGCAATCTTGCTCGAAGCTTGGACTTCCCACACGTTCGGGTATGGATGCAGCAATGCTCGCCCCCAATACCTCGCCACCCTGCTCCTCATCAATTGTTGCCGCACCGTTAGTATGACCTGCATGATTGTTGACCAATTCTGCGAGCCAAGTGGGCATAACTTGGCACGCTTCATAGCTGGGAGGTCCATTTATCCACTCATATGTTGCAAGCTCACCGTGAGCATTCAAGTAGCTTGTTGGTGGAGCGAATACAACACCACCGATTCCTCTTCCATCAATGCCAAAAGTCTTGTCGTCGACCTTTAGACCTTGAAAATTTCGTCTCCACGTGAGACCTGGAGAGTCGAGCTTGAAACACAAGTGCAAT